ATGACATCTTACCTTTACAGACGTACCAAAAGTTTCTTGTGAGGCTATAAGTGATTTACTTTTGTGTGTTTTTGTCAGGCAGAAATTTATTTATACCCCCTGAGGGTGTAAGAGGTTAAGGAATAGCCTGCCGCTGCACATTAGTGAGGCTCTTTCCTTGCCGAATTTTAAAACAAGGCTCAAGACTTGCTTTTATTCGCTGGCTTTTAACACCAGCAGGACTTAGTTGTCATGATGTTGTTTGCTTAGCTTTATTATTGCCTTATTTTATATTTTAATGCAGTATTTTATTCTTTTGTTGTGTTTTATTATTTGTTTAACACTTTGTTTTCAGCTGTAGTGGTTTTAAAGTGCTATATAAATGATGACAATGAGGATGATGATGAATATGACTGTATTAAACAGTAGAGAACCGAGGTCTATGCCCTGCAGAACCCCAATACTTTCTGAGGTTTTAATACTTTAAGGCTTCTAGATGCACTTTTGCCCCCTAAGTCATAAAGTAAGTGAAGACCAATTAGAAAAGGTTTCATTGCAATGATGTGTGGGTCTTTTACTCGTTTACATCCGATTTTGACTATTTCAGTTTTCTCAGTTGTTCGCTTTTGCAGATACCTTGGAACTAGCATCTGGAATGCTGCAGTTTGCTCTTTAAAGTTCCCCCGACTGCTTGTTGGGGTCTACGTCCAAAAAACATTTGGCCTGCAATGTGTATTGATACTGCAGTTTAAAAACACTCTGATAAAAGTTGAAGTATCAACTTGACCTCTTTGGTAAAAGTGAAAAAGTATGTGCTCCAAAAACTATTTAAAGTATAAAAGTATAAAGTAACCTTAAAAAAAAAACAGCCAGATGCCACTATATGAATTGAAAGCTCAATGTTTCGACTATTTCGAATAATTCTTTGAGATAGGGCCAAGGATGAGGGAGGTCTTATTGGTCTCCATCTCCCGATACGCTCTCGCCTGTGTCCAACCTTTCAGACATTTCAACATCTTTTTCTGAATCCAACATTGTAGCATGGCATAGACAATTCACATTTGCAGTTTGAAGAACACCTGCTTGCTTCTGATGATTTCCTTTAACTAACCAATGAGTGTTTGCGTTATATGACTCATCCAATCACACTAGTTTTCA